TCCAACCAGTTAATCCATTCACTTGGACTAATGCAGATAGGTTAAGGCTCTCACAACCAATCACTTCACCTCTGAACTTTCTTGTAAGCTCTTGGGGACACCTCATATCTAAGCCTTAACAGGACCTTTGACTGTTAAATACTCATGGAACAGCCACAAACTTCAAAAGACTCCATGGCCTCAGTTTTGTAGATTGGAAACAGGCCAGGTGGGTGGGGGTCTTTCCTGATGTTGGAAAGACTGGTCTGTGCATCCTGGGCCCCTTGGCTTCTCCTGACTTCCTGACGGGCAGGGAGGGGTGGCCTGGCTATAATGACTTTGGGGTGGGTATCACTAATCGTGTGGCTTTAGGCTGGCCATTTGACCTCTACAGTCTCAATCTCTTCATTTTTATACCCGGGATAACGAGAGTACTTATCTCACAGTTGGAATAATAGATGTGGAAATGTTCCAGGGGCACTTGGATTCAGGATGGAACCCTCCCGGTTTTCTCTTTCTCATGTTCATCTGGCCCCAGTGGCCCTCTGCTTTTTCCCAGGGCATTTCTAAAAGATTCTTGCTGGGGACCCAGTGCTGACCTCCCAGGCCTGTGTGCGGCTCTGATGTGTGCAGTGACTTTCCTGTAGAGGTCTGTTGGGAGCAGGTGGAAGTGAAGACAGGGTGTTCTCTGAGGAGGTGGCCAAGTGGGGGAGGGGAAGTGAGAGCTGCCTGCTGCCTAGGTTCCTCCTCTCAGGGGTCCCATGTAGCACATGTCCCTTAGACTGTTGCTGTCCTGCCTCCCCCACCCAGCTTTAGCCACGTGGGCACAAGTCCTCTCTGGGTGCACTCCCTCTCCCAGCCTGGGCGTGGGGCAGTAGGGGCAGCGAGGTTAAGGCAGTCTCCCGTGTGGGTGGTTGGCACTTTGCATGCTCTTTAATAGTGGCTACCAAGTGTGGCACTGTCCCTGCTGTCACCAAGGAAGAGAGGAGATGCAAGTGAGGTGACTGGGCCCTCTGGAGCCTGCGTCAAGAGTGCCTTCCTCTCCATCAGGCATGCATGTGAACGAGTGCCCACCTCCATTTCAGGAAAGAAGGCAACCAGAAAACAGCATTTTTCCAGAAAAGAAAAAAAAAAAAAACCCACAAAGGTCACCTTCCCTGAAGCTGTTTGATTTTGGTTGTGAATGTTAACTGTGCTCTGCTGGGGTGCCAAGGATGTGGGCGGAACAGGCTCCCTCCTGCCAGGAGCTGGCCTGGGAGCAGTGAGTGCAAGACAGGTGACGCGCAGGGGCCATATGAGCCCAGGGCCAGCCAGGGAGCATCCAGGAGGTCCTGGCAAAGCAGGTGGCTCTTGAGTTGGCGTTGGTGGCCTCTTTTGCTTTTGGTTGTGGGCTTTTGTGTGAATCTCTTGTGGCTGCTGTCACACAGTACCACAAATTCAGAGGCTCGAAACAACATGTATTATCCAGTTCTGGAAGTTAGCATCCCGAAATCAGCCTCACTAGCTAAGGTAAGGCGTCCCTGGGCTGATCCCTTCTGAGGCTCAGAGTGGGGAAGAGCCTGGCCTTTACCAGCTCCTGAGGCCACTGCATTTCTTGGCTTCTGGCCCTGCCCTCCTCAGATCTTATCCTGCTTCCACCATGATACATGGTTCGCTTAGAGGATACTGGTTGGCTAAGTGTTGCAGACCTTCCAAATACTGCCATGTGGAACTGTACAGTTTCTGAAGGTCACATTTGTTCCTATTCTCTCCTCTTCAGGAAAGTCTTAAAGTGTGAAGCTTTCAGGCTTGTGGTGCAGGGTACAAATGTGCCCAGTTCTGTTTTGCTTGAAAATTCCATTTTTATTGCCACTATTTTCCCTGAAGTGTCAGGCTCACTTCTTTAGAGAAAAGTGTCTGCAGGTATCCAAGTCTGAATAACCTTAGCTCTACTCTCATTGTTTTTAGTAAAATGTGTCAATGAATAGAAAAAGCAAGTCGGGCTGGCTGCCCAACCCTGCAGGGCCTCCCCTGGGATGACCAGGCCTTAGTCTGCAGCAGAAACACTTCCCGTGGATTTCTCATTTTGCTGTTGAATCTTGACGTGTACGCCCACTGTCAAGGTGTGACACATTAATAACCTCCCAGCTCCTGCAGGAACTTCTCTAGTGAAGCTGGTGTTTTCCTGGGTGGGGACAGACTCCATGAGGACAGAGTCTGGTGCCATGTGCAGGTGATACTGGGCCTTGCAGCTGAATCCTAGTTGCCTTTGCTCCGTCAACACAGATGTCAGCCTGGGGAAAGTGACCAGGGACAGCTGGGTGTTAGGAAGATCCTGTGACCTCGTGCCCCAGGACCACACTCGGGGGGCTGCGTTCTCAGAAGGCTAAGCCCACTGCTTTTCCTTCTGCTTGGCGTCTCAGTGTCGGAATCCAGCCTCTTGCCGAGGTGCGACTCTTGATTCTGGGTCAGCTGAAGGACATCAGGAGAAGGTGGGATCCTGCCTGGCTGGAAGGGCCAGGGAGCACCTGGCTGGGGAGCACCAGCCAGGCCCCTCAGAAGCTGGCAACACTTGAAACCCATCCCAGACTGGCTTGGGTAGCAAGAGACTTTGTTCATAGCTCCACTGTCCTGGGGTGACTGGTTTTAGGGAGCTGTTAAGCCAGGGCTCCGATGACATCAGGCGCTCCTACTTTGTTCTTTTTTTTGGTACCAGGTATTGAACTTGACCACTTGACCACTGAGCCAGATCCCCATCCCTTTTTTGTATTTTATTTAGAGACAGGGCCTCACTGAGTTGCTTAGCGCCTTGCTTTTGATGAGGCTGGCTTTGGACTTGGGATCCTCCTGCCTCAGCCTCCTGAGCCACTGGGATCACAGGTGTGCGCCATTGCACCCACCTCTTATTAATTTTAATTTTCTTTTTTTAAGACAGGGTGTTTCTACATTGCCCAGCGTGTCCTGAAGCGTGCTGTCCTTCTGCCTCAGCCTCCTGATTGCTGGCATTTCAGGTATGTGCCACTGTGCCCAGCCTTTCTTCCTTTTGACCTATGTCTTCAGGTAACTGCTCCCAGTTGGGCCCTGGCAACTTGAGACTGGCACCCTCTGCTCTGATTGGGTCATGCTGCCTGGGCTCCCTTTAAGACAGTCCACACTAGGGCAGGGCTTGAGCTGCCACTCACCCTGGGGCTCTTTTGCTTTGCTCAGCTTTCGCAGCTGCAGAGCAGCCTTGCATGTGGTGTCTCTGAGTCGTCACTGAGGCCAGGGTGTCTGTGCTTTGATGTGTCCATGGTGGGGGTGGAGGGCCTCTGGGTCAAGATGGGCACATTTCCTGGGGGCAGCATGGTGCAAGCTGGCAGTGGAGGCTGCTGACCGGGGTGTGGTAGGCTTCAGGGGTGGAGGTTCCTTTCACTATGTAGGCACTGTGGCCCTGGTGACTCTCTTCTTCCATGAATGGAGCAGGTCATGCTGGAGGCCCAAGCAAGGGTCTGGCGGGCAGAATGAACGACTGGCACAGGATCTTTGCCCAGAGCACGCTCGTCCCTCCCCACCCCCAGAGAGCACGGCAGCTGTTGCAGGAATCGACAGCCTTTCAGTGTGTCCTGAAGTGGCTCGAGGGTCCACTGGTCAAGCAGGTAATGCCGTCAGCTCTGTGTCGCCAGGTGTTCTCGGCTGAGGTGACGTTTCCAGGTGACGTGTTGATTTTCACTTACCTGCTGCATCTCAGCACCACACCCCTGGCTGTGGCCTTGACAGTGTTGGGAAGTGAAGTGGCCCATCAGCATGAAGCACTTACAGTCAGCGACTCGGTGCCTTTGACACAGGGTGGGGGTTTCTTTCTGCCCACAGTGGAACGGTTGAAAGCCCAGGTAGTCTGACTTCCTGGGATATTTCTGAGTGAGCTTGTTTCAGTGTGTGGCCTTGTGCGTTCTTCCTTGTGTCCTGATTTCAGCCTGGCAATCAGGGCACAGGGGGCTGAGCCTGGTACCTGGTGGCTGTGGCCTGCCTGAGCACAATATGTGGATATATGGTGGCAGTTGCACTCTCAGGCCCTGTCCTGTGGGCTCCACAGCCAGGCTGTGCCCCAGTTGCCGAGGAACCTGCTGGGTGGGTCAGTGTTCCTGTGCTGCCATCTGCAGGACCCTTATGCGGTGGACGTCTTGGTGAGCCCAAGTGGTGACCTGCGGGTGGCATGAGAAGGATCCAGCCTATAGTGCGAGGGCGTGCTTTCTGAGTTTGGCGTGCCAAGGTGTCGTCTTTTGTAGCTGGTGGAGTGACGTTAGTAGAGTATTGAGTATGGGCCTGTGGACCCTGCTTAGGTCACCAGTGTCCTCGTCGCTCATTCCAAGCCCTTGTGGAGTCTGCCGTCTGCCGTCCAGTACTGGGATGGCTGCTGTGCTCACGGCTTCTTTTTTTGGGTTTTTCTTGGGTGGATTTGCTCCACCCTCGTGGCCCTGGGAAGCCGGTGCCAGTGATTGCTGGATCCCAGAGAGGAGCAGAACCCAGAGCAGCCGGTCAGCTGCCCTGATGGCCACCCTGGCCTCCACCCGGCCGGGGGCTCCGCTGCTCTGCCTCATAGGAAAGCCTTGCTTTTCTCCTCCTGGGAATTTTTTGAAGGAAATTTTATTTCTTCACTTTATTTTTCAAAAATTCAAAAATTCACAGGGATAGGCAGGGAAAGTGAATCACCCATGTCCCCACCCAGGAAGGTAGCCAGGGGTACCTGTTTTTGGTATAGCTTTCCAGAAATTCTAAGCCAATACAATAAATCTTTTATAAATATTTTATTCCATAAAATATATTTATGGAAATATGTATTTTTCTCATTTTAAAATCTAAATGATAACTTACTGTGTTCTGCTTAGCACCTTGCTATTTTAAAAAATATCCATGTTTTGTAGATTGTTCATGCTATTACATGAAAATTTTCTGACTCTGTTGTAAAACTGCATAGTATTTCTTTGATAGTGAACCGTTGTTTATATAGCAAGGCTCTAACTCACGATCTTCCGAACTTTCCCTGTCATTTTCTGTTACAGATAATGCTTCAGTGAATAAGTTTGGTTTTGTTGTTTTTTTTAGCGTATGCATATATTTGTAGAATAATTTCTATAAGTGGGATAACTGATCCTAAGTCATATGTCAAAGATGTGATTTGAGACCACATTATGTGTTTTGACAAGTATATTTAAACACCAAGACAGAGACAAGCTGGGAGTATAACAGCATAAGCCATGCAAAAACTGAGCGTGAGGATACTGGTGACCGTGCTGACGTCTGGTCCCAGATGTCCAGGTGAAGAGCTGTGGCCAGAGATGAAGACGCTTTTTTCCCCCCAGTTCTTGGGTGGAACCCAGGGCCTCATGTCCACCAGGCAAGTGCTTTTCTAGTGAGCCCAACTCAACCCATAGAAAGGGGCATTTCATCAGATAATCATGTCCAGAAGAGGCAGCAGCCCTAAGTGTGTCTGCACCTGAGTTGGGGCCCTCAGAACACCCGTGGGGGGATGATCCTGTAAGAGGAGCACAGCCAAGTCTCCTTACAGTAGAGGACACAGGGACACCTATGGCAGGCAGAAGGACACAGGCTTAGCAAGGTGCCTGGTGACTTCAGCAGGGTGCAGTGAGAGGTGGCCACAGACGGGAATGTTGCCTGGCACGGACCATAATGCCGGTCCGGGGCGGGAAGCCGGTGTTCAGTGTAAACCAGGGTTTCACTTCGGAGGTGCCGTGGCCAACTCATCAGGCAGCTGGTGGGAGCTCTCCGTTTCACCTCCCCGGGCCCAGCCAAGCTCAGTACGGCAGCTGGCCTTTCAATGCATGCTGCTGGGCTGGCTGGGACAGCTCTCCTGCGTGGCACCTGCCACATGGCTCCCACAGGCCGAAGCTGGCGTGGTAGCAGTAAAGGGGCAGCGGTCAGGTGCACCGTCGCTCCAGAAGAGCAGAGGTCATGCACACATCGCACTGGAGGCGAAAGGCTGTGTGCGCAGTCACCCTGGAGGAGTGCAGGACATTATAAAGATAAACGAATGAGCACATAAACAAAAACGAAATCACAGGGATGTTAGAAAATTATTTGAACTGAATAATCAGAGAGTACGTGACAATTTGTGAGGTGTTGCTTATATCAGTCGTTTGAGGGAGATTCATAGCTCCGTACCACTGTCTTAGAAAAGAAAGGTATGAGATCATGGTTTCCTTTTTAAGAACCTAGATGAAAAGATCAAATCAAAGGTAACGTAAGTAGAAATAAGGCAGTAGTAAATGTTTGAGCAGAAATCAATTCAGGGACCAAGAATAGACAAAATGAGCAGAAGAGGAAGAAGTTGGTCCTTTGAGATGGTTCGTAAAATTGATAACTCTGTGGAAAGACTGCTCCAGAGGTGTGACAAAAGAAAGCACAGATTCCTAGTGCCAGGAGTGAGGGAGCGGCCGGCATGTGGCACCTCAGAGTCCGTCACGCAGAGGGAGGAGGGATGGTGGTTGCAGACAGGTTCTCCAAGGGAAAAGGGGGTCAAGGGCTACTTCCCCCCGCCTTTCTAAGGGCGCGGCCGGTGATGCCCGGATCAGCCAAGAAACTCCC